AGTGCTAGAATTACAGGCGCGAGCCACCACACCCAGCTGCAGCCTAGAGACGGGATCTTGGAAGACAACATGAGTTAGGATGAAGCCCTACCAGATCAGGGTGGGCCCTAAACCCAGTGACTGGTGTCTTTAGACGAAGTGGTGAATTTGGCACTGGGCATGGTGGCTCACACCTGTCATCCCAGCACCTTGGGAGGCCGAGGTGGGAGGATTGCGGGAGGAATGCCTGAGTCCAGGCGTTCGAGATCAGCCTGGGCAACTTGGTGAGACCTCATCTCTACAATAAATTAAAAATGAGCCGGGCATGGTGGTACCTGGAATCCCAGCCACTCGGGAGGTCAAGGTGAGAGGATCGCCTGAGCCCAGCAGGTTGAGGCTGCAGCAGCTGTGATCGTGTCACTGCTTTCCAGCCTGAGTGGCAAAAGGGGACCCCGACTCAAAAAAAAGCGGGTGGATTTGAACCCAGACACACCAGGAAGAAGGCTATGTGATGACAGAAGTCATGTGATCAGAAGATCATGTGATCAGAGTGACGGCACCCCAAGCCAAGGGGCCCCAAGTGTTGGCTGGAGCCCTAGTATAGAGGAGGCAGGAAGGCATAGGCATCCCTTGTGGCCTTGACCTTGGACATGTAGCCTCCAGACCACGTAAGAACCAGTGTCTGTGGCTTGAAGCCCCCCAATGTGCCAGCATTTGAGCCGCTGGACCCTCACGAAGTGCGCGACCCTGGCCTGTGGGTCCCGCCGTCTGCGTGGCTGCTTCTCTGAGCACGTGGGGTCACCGGCCCACGGCGTGGCTAGGACCGGGGGAGGTTCGAACATTCCCCTGTGTCCCGGTGGTGGGTTTTTCTCTGGGCTTAGCCACGCCTGGAACACGTGTCTGTGTCTTTGCCCGTGGCCGGGCCAGATTCTAAACCCGCAGATGACAAAGGTCTGAGCAGGTCTGGGCGTGTGCGAAGGCGGTTCGGCGTCTGTGAGGTCATCTCAAACCTCCTGGCTGTGTTTTGTTTTATTATTACTCTTTTGAGTCAGGGCCTCCCTCTGTCGCCCAGGCCGGAGTGCAGTGGCACCATCACGGCTCACCACAGCCTCGACCTCCTGGGCTCAGGTGATCCTCCCACCTCAGCCTCCCGAGTAACTGGGGCGACAGGCACACACCACCACGCCCGACTCAGTTTTTGGTTTCTCGTAGAGACGGGGTCTCGCTATGTCGCCCAGGCTGGTCTCGAGATC